GAAAAGCCACAACTGGTCCGACTAATCACAGAAACAAAGCAGTCCACAGCTACTGCTACCAAGATATCAAGAGTTATTTTTAGTCTCAACTCCTGACAGATTAATGAACTAACATGTCTAAGATGTCAGACAAATTATTGGGCAGGAAATGATCTAAACATTCTTTCTTTGTCTATTAATGCTTGCATACTTTTTAGACAAGAAATGTCATTTATTAGACCCCAAAAATAAAATCGATTGGAGAGGATGCTGGCATTTTGTCTGGAGCAAATTGCATATAGTTAATGAGGGTCATCGAGTTCGACAACAGCTAAAACATTTACAGTTTAAAAAAAAGTTTGATTCTAATCTTAGCTATTGGGTCATAACACCACCCTTATCTGTTCTCTGTAAAGAGCTTTACTCATTTCCTCAAGATGAAGTAAAACTCTGCTGCAAGCACGACTTCAAAACATGATTATATGAAATCGTGAGGACCCTTCTATCAAAACGATGCCACAATTGGTGCATTCGTAGATGGGTTATGATATATGTGATATATTTGGTTGTATCATCTTTTCAGGTTTAAATTGTTTGAGAAAATAACAGTGTATGTTTATGCTTAAATAAGCTTTTAGTAGCTTTTTACCTTTTGGCACTCTGTAAAGAAATGTGTGTATCTGACATTAAAGTAATGCTCACTTAATTATTGGCTGCATTTATTAATTTTTCTTTTCTCCTGCCCTTCTCTGTCTACCAGCTTTTGTGCCTTTTCTTATGGCCTTAGCCAGCATGCAGCTGTAAACCTCGTTTTTTCAGCCTGAGTCTGCTTTCTGCTGACCCACTAATGGAGCGGTTGTGTGAGGAAAGGCCGGAGGCTGGACTGCAGAGTCGAGGCTTAAAGCTTCTTTCTCTGTGCTGGTTGCAGGTTATTTTAAAAAAATAACGTAGACATGAAAACATGGAATAAAGCCAGGATGTGCTGCATTAACTGCAGACAACAGTAAACCCCAGCAGGACTGGTTTTTCTTAAGCCTTGAGCTACGTTATTTCTGACTCTTCAGAGACTTTGACATGACGCAGTTCTTTGACAAGACGGCATCAAAACCTGAGAAATGGTCCCTAAGCTCTCAGTGCTTGTCCTCGCACGGCTCTGACTTATCCCTTTCCARCTCATTGTAAGAACTCCTCAAAATAACTTATTCATCTGTGACAAAATAAGTCTGACAATGACAAACATTATCCACACAAGCTTACTGTTCTCGACCTTAAAAGACTTTTATGATCAGGTATAAAGAGGTAAAAAATAAAAAGGAAAAAAAMYAGAGAATTTGCATTTCCTRCAAAATTGCAGCATGAATGCTGTKAATGCGGAAAGATTTTTGCTGAATAACTAAAAAAAAAGCTAAAAGCAGCCTAACAGGCTAAAACATTAGCTGAAATTAGCACAAACAGAATGAGCATGTTTTCTGAATTAAACAATAAGAAGCTGAATTTATCACAATAAGATGCATTCAGCTGAAAAAAGCTCCAATTAGTTAGAAACACAGAAATCGGCTGAAAGAAGCATAAGAGTTGAAATTTAGAAAAAAGCGTAAAAGGTTTTCATGGTGGCTAATACATTAAAAAAAACACTAAAACCAGTAAAATAAAGGCAGAAGAAAGCTGAAATTGGCATGAAGTTGGAAAAAAAAGTAAATATTTATAAACGTTTTGAAGGGTTTTAAAGATCTTCATCAGTTTCAGTGGGAAAAAAAACATGGCAGAGAGAGCTAAATATCTCAAAAGTATAAATTGCTGAAATGTCAAAAGTCATTGCAGGAATATCCCGAAGTAGCTGAACGTTGTGATGTATAAATTGTAAAAGTAGCACAAAAACTGCGGAACAAGTTGCGTGACAAAACATACAGATGAAAGAAAAGATTCATATTGTCACAAACAGAAATCATGAATGCGTTTATGCAAAAGTAAATGACGTTTTGCACAGATCTGAAAAGATTAAGTTCTAAATGACTCTAAGCTTACTACCACATCAAACTGTTGCTCATTATCTGTACATTTGATTAAGTTACTGTCAGTTTTGTTAGCAAATGTCAATCCAATAAATAAGTTTGACTGGGTTGTACATAAAAGTACATCCAGTGATTACTGTTCGACAGTTTTATTTAAATCTGTTCAGTGGTTCAGAATAAATTTCACTAACAGACTTTTGGCACACACAGTAAAAACAGTTTTAATGTGATTATCATAAACAAGTACAGTCAGTGTAGATAAATCCTTTCTTAAACTCTCATTCTTGATAAAGTTTGAGATCTTCGAAAYCCTTCAGGTCTGAACTGGCACCAGTACGGAGAAAGTTAAACAGCATCCAGCCGTAATAACATTAGGATGTCTGGACGTGGAGATGGAGAGCATATCCGTTTTATCTTGTCTCCTTGTTGTCTTGTGGCATTAGGAAGCTGGTCATCATCAACCCAACAAATGGGCCCTGAGTGAAGCAAGGTAGAGTTATAATACTTGTGTATTCAGGATTWTAAATCTTAGACATGCATGTCCTTTCCAGCGGTTGCAGGGACGTCTCTATTGTCAGCCTGTAATCCGTAGTGACTCTCAGCCTTTTCTCTTGTCCTCGAGTCCACAGGGTATCTGTATGCAGGGCAGAGCTGGAATGTTGAGGGACCTCAAGACCCTTCTTCTTTAATTTGTGTATCTGTAGACTTCCTGTCTAAGTTGTTGAATCAGAAAAAGTAGATTTGAAAACTGCTTTAAACGTAAAACTCTTCCACTCTGACTGGACTTGGTCTCCGTCTACTTTTTACTGCAAACCAAACAGCTCTTTAGATGAAGCCCAACATTCCACARCTTCCACCCTCCTCCTGTTTGCTCGAACAGAAATGACACAAAGCAGAAGCAGGAAGCTGTCATCGGTTCACCAAGGGGGCCGTGTGACACATCGGGGCGTTGTTGTCGTGGCTACGCACAATAAGCAGCAACACTGGCTTTGCGGTTGAACTCTTTACCCATGTGTTGACGCGAGAGCTTTGATCAGAGGAATGTTTGCCAGGCAGAGTCGCTGAGAAAACCACAGAAACCATGTGACGTCTCAGGTTGCTGTCAGGAGCGAAGGATGACTCAAACACACCACGGTGCTGCACGGTTGTAAAATAAAACTAAAAACGGCAATTAAACCAACAATACGTCGTCTTGTGATTGACGCATAAAGAYGTGGAGAAGGCTTTTTTATGACTTAAAGGCACAGAAATAAAATTTTAAATTCAGACTGCAATAAACCGACTGCGCTCTTGCATTTCCCCATTTTATATGAGATCTTTCTGCCTCCAAAGTCCAGCTGTAAAGGTTTTATAAACGTGCTCTTTTCCACATGGATGCATGGTATCCATTACTGATCAGGTTTCCTGACAAATAGAGGACTTTTCAAAACCATGACGATGAGGCAAAGTCGGCATCCCGTTACCAATGTGTGTGAAGGGAGTTTACAGCAAAAGTTAATCCTCACAGTCCGCCCTTGTTGCGACAAAGTGCTTGATAAGCTCCACTGCAAACAGCTCGAGATGATTGCACAAATAAAACCCACCCTCAGTCACCAGTGTGGACTTGTTCTCTGTCTAGATTTAAGTTGTACTTAAAGGAATTTTACAACATAATCATGAATTTTGTGGTGCATTGTGTGCAAACAGGCCACAGTTGTGAAATAGATACGTGTATTCTGCTTAAAGTTTATTTTATACCAACCAACACCCAGAAGTCCACTGGGGACAGACAGTCGCTCTCCTTGTTAGCAGCCGAACACTGAGCTTTTCAACTACAAAATGTGCTTTAGATTGTTTTTGTTGCTCTAATCTTTGTCAGAGCTCAAGACCACAAACATTTGGTCACATTCTGCTTCCATTTCTGGAGACAAAACTACAACAAGTGTATCTTTGGRGAATGTTTTTTTTTTAACTCCAAGGAGGCCACAGTTTCCATTTTTGTAGAATGAATATTCATATAATTTGCGAACTGCTGCCTCTGGCCTTTTGAAGGTCAAAACTTAAAAAATTACCACCAGTTTATCCTTTTTAATTAGTTATAAGATTTTTTTGGCACATATAAAATATTTTTATACGCAGTCATCATTTACAGGCAAATTAGCCTCCTTTAAAAAACAAGCTAGCATCCCACAAAAGGCAAATATGAACTTTATAATCAATAAAGATATTTGTAGGAATATTTAAATATTATTTGTGTTTTTAAGGTCGCACCACATGATGCACAAATGTGGCAACTGCAAACTAACTGCTAGAGGTGACACTTGTATGACATTTGAGAAAGATTAAAAAAAGTCCTTGCTGTCTCCAAGGATGATTGGCAACCTGTTGGATGATGCAACTTCCTGTTTTTGACTGGATTTCAAAATATAAGTACCCAAATGAGAATTTCTTGATGGTCGCACCACATGATATTTTGTTCACCGGACAAAGTTTATTTATAAGTTATAATTGAACTATAACTAAAAGTGGTTTGAGAATTTGTACAAGATGGGAAAAACATTTGAAAATCATGCCAAATAGGAAAGAAAATATATTTAAATAGATTTAATGTAATTTTTAAGACATGGTTGAAAAAATAGTTTGGACAGTCGAACTACATGACATTTTGACACTTTAAATATCACAAAAATGACCAAAAAGAAGAGTTTTTAGAAATGATAAAGTAGGTGTATATATGGGAGATTTATTGCATGTCTGTGGTTGCTTTTTATGCATCTGAACCTTTTTTTAAACTGTAAAAAGTGGATCTGGACAAAACATTGGGCGTCATGTCATTGACCTATAATCAAACTGAAGCATGTAAAAGCTGTGTATTTATGTAAAACGTAGCTCTTTTTCTTTATTGTGATTGACAGCCCAGAACGCTGCATGCTTCGGCTCAAACATGTCAGCAGGACAAATGCTTCCTGATATGGTATTTAAAGTTTGTGGCTCCCTGGCGTTACTTTTATACCCTCCTCCCCTCTGCAGGAAACATCTGACAGCCGGAACCTGGACAGGTTGAGAGAGCAGGCAGCAGGAGAGCAGGCAAAGCTCACGGACGGCGGCATGGCATCCATAGCGGAGTACTACGCTGGCAAGAGCGTGCTGATCACGGGAGCCACGGGCTTCATGGGCAAGGTGCTGGTGGAGAAGCTGCTGAGGTCCTGCCCTGAGGTTAAGACCCTCTACATCCTGGTTAGACCCAAAGCTGGGCAGTCCATGCAGCAGAGGGTCAGCGACATGATGAAATGCAAAGTAAGAAGACGTTAACTTTTTAACACCACAGGTTTTCTCATTGAATGTTTAAAATAAAACAAATGAAGCTCTGGTTTAAACATAATTTAGTTTAGGGTTATGTATTCGAACATGTAGTCAGTTTTGCCTGAACAACAAAGTACAAAGTAAAGGTTTCAGAAATGAATTACCAGCAAGGCTGGAATTTATTCCCCTCCCAGTTTAGGGTCAGAGTGTTTCTTCATAAAACCAACAACTGYCCCACTTATTTCACTGCAGCAGCTGCATCCTGCCTCGTAAAATCTCTTATCTAGTCCTGGAAGTATGTCTGGTTTGAGACGACTCTTCCATTTCTGTAATCGTTTCCTGAAAATCAGTTTTCAGTCAATTTTGTTTTGTTGGTTTGCTTTAAGTGTTTTCTTGTATGAACTTCTTTATTCTACCCTTGTATGTTTGTAAATAAGATGGGTGTCATCACTTAAAACCTATTGGATTGTTACAATTAGGGGGAAAAAAAATCTTTAAAACAACTTGACCAAAGTTGTTAATGCAAAAACTGGAAACAAATTGTAAAAAATAAGTTTAAGACCAACAAGATCTCATCCTAAAGATGTTGTTCCCTAACTCTCCCTTTGTATGTAAGACTATTGGTTCCCAAAGTAGGGATYGGGACCCCCAATAGGGGTCATGAGATAATTTCCAGAAATCAAATAAAAATTTATATACTTATTTATTAATAATGATTTTTATCACATAAACTGTGATCATTAATGTGTAAACATCTGATAAGCAGTTAACTGTTTATATATTTTGTTTAAATATTATGCTATCGATGGCTGACCACTTTAACCAGCAATAATTAAGGTCATAAATCTCTGCTTTTTGTTATTTTGTGGGTCAGAAGCTGAAAACTTTAGGAACCACTGCACTAGGTTGTATTAAGTGTTTAGGTAAAATATTATGCAAACTGTTTTTTTTTTTTTGTTTGTTTATTCCTCTGCATCAGAGATCAATCGTGCAAAACAAAACAACAAGAATGCATTTTATCAGAAACTAAATAAAACTAAAATCTGTTGCAAACTTATAAAGAAAAATCCAGAATCGTGCACGATCAGCTTTGAAGCTGCTGTAAAGTATCATCACCTCACCTCTCATTAGGCTTTAAAAACTCAGTGACCTCCAGCATTTTGAACAGAGCTCATTCAAATGACTACAAAAGAGTCGACTGTTCAGAGGCAACGCAGTTTTTATCTTTGCATAGCAATATAAATTTGCCTGTGTATTGCTGCGGCAAGCTTGTGTTGCCATGGTGAAACGGGCCTAATGACCCCAGAGGAGTCCAACKGTTCATCATTGAGCTCCAGCAGGGACGGCAGTCGAATGGTGGATGCTAAGCTGGATGTTATCTCACTGAACATATGTAAAASGTTCAGAGCAGGGGGAGAAAGTGAGACGCAGGAGGCTGGATAATGAGGAAAGGACCAGAGAGGAGGCGATGCTTCGGAGGATGACGGCAGGAGGAGGGAGATGAAAGCGGGAGGTAGAATAGGAGCGATCAGCATCAGCTGCGTCAGGCTGTCAGCAAAGCATGACTCAGCGAAAACCTCGGAACAGTGTTGGGTTTAACGAGGAGCCCAGGATTGACTGGATGTGTGTATTGATGTGCTCACAAACAGCTGCTGTGCACTGTGCTGCTGGCCTCAAACTGTCAGTGCACCTAAGAAAACGACACGTTCTCTTTAATCCTCTTTGTCTCCCTCTGATAGCATCTGGGTTTTTTTTTTCTCGTTTCTACCGCTCTCGTTGGAATTGGACCTCGCTGCTGTGAGAGCAGCAGGGCAGCAGTTTGAGAATTTTCACCTAATTTATCTCGTCGCCCTCCACCTKCTTTATTTTGTTTTTTTACCCACCTCCCTCTTGAGGTGAGCGTGATGAAAGTGTCTGCTTTTAATTCACAAAAAAAAGAAACTCTCTCCTTTTGATTTTTCTTTTTATCAATTTGTAGCACTKTAAACAACACCCCATATTTCCGCTAAGGAGAACACCTTTTCTCTCCACCCTCAAACGACGCCTGAATCTCACCACACTTTCAGGTTAAAATGATAAAATGCCCTAAAGAAGAAAAGAGTCTAAATTCCTCCACAATGTAGAACAAGACCTGGCAGCATTTGTTTCCAGAGGGTGGTTTTCAATTATTTAAAAKTCCAAGGGCCAAACAGTGGAATGAAGCATGGACACTATATTCTACTTACATCTGTTGTACATAATATCATTCCTCTTATAATACACAATAAATGTATTTTCTCATCTTGGATGACACTTGCAGAATAACCTTTAAGGCTGGACCTAACGATTATTTTGATAGTTGACTAATCTAATCTGATAGCTTCCAAGACACACACTGTTTTCTGATGGTAAAGTCACTGAAAATAAGATTTATCAGGTATCAACCTGAAGAACGAGCTGACTTTCTGAAAYGTACCCATCAGGCTCCGACATGTTTGTGTTTCAGGTGATCATGATGTTTTCGATGACGCTGTCCTGCCATGGAATGATTGAGTTTGCATTTTATTTTCTTTGATTTATTTTTGGTAAACTGTAGCCAGCTTTTGAAAGTTTAGTTTTGTTTTTTTGCCTCTTTGTGACAATCTTTCCATTAAACCATCATTGCTCTTTGGTGTGCCCATTGTGGCATCTTCTGTGGTTTGCAGTAGGGTTGGGCAAAAAAATAATCACGATTAATTGTGGTATTTAGCTAATAACGATTAATTTGACGATTAATCCCCTGGACACCTGTATGCCCTAATCATGACCAATTTAAATCACTCTAATGCGCCTGTGTCAAACTCGAGGCCTGCGGGCGACTCCCGTGTGGCCCACCGGGGGGGGTAATTTTTTATTATTTTTTTTTAACTTAACATGAAAATTGTTTCTTATATCAATGTTAAACTTTAAATTTATGATTAAAAATACAAAATACATTTAAAAGGTGAAAAATAATAATTGTCCTGCCCCTGAGCTGTTGGCTTTAAGTAACTGAGCAATTTAGTTGGATAGCACGCTATTAATGTCAGAAAATTAGCTGCCTTAAAGTCAGCATCAACCATAAACTACATTTTCTATAATGCATACTAGCTACTCACTAGAAACTCATCAGTGAGTAAAACTTTATTAGTTTTACTTTTAATAATATTACTGTATTTATTTCAGATTTAGTCAGCCGTACACTTAGTTCTTATCAGTGTTTAAAAGAGGACGTGTTAAAACTCTGTTTAGTCAAAGTTAAACATGAAACATCAAAGTTGACTACAACTGGCCCTTCGAGGGCCACCATAACGCTCATGTGGCCCTCGGTGAAAATGAGTTTGACACTCCTGCTCTAGTGGGAAAGATTTGCTCTCTGTAAAAATGTGTTGTCAAAATTACAGACTTCAGCAGTACATCAGTGTTTAAGTTGGGTTGATRGYCCAAGTAAAACTGGAGTTATGATCTATAAATTACAGAACTTGTTTTTAAAATGTTCATCATATTTAAAGCCCAGATGAGCACCTGGTGGCTTTAATCGTATAAATCAAGTGCCAAAAAATAACTGATTTAAAGTTTTTCTGACGATTAATTGCACACAGTGTGATTTGCCCAACCCTAGTTTGCAGTTCCAAATGAACGTGGTTAAATAATATGAATATTCGACATTAAAATTCTGCGTCGACCAATTTTTCTAATCGACGTAATCAGTAATGTTGACTAATTCTTGCTGAACTTATAACCCTTAAACTTACTAGTTAAACAAAATAAGATTTAGACCTATTTTAGCCCATAAGATAAACAGTGTGTTTTATAAACAGACCTTCATTCAGTTCACTATTATTTTGGGTTCATTTTAGGACACAGGGACCGAAGGGGTGAACTACAAAGTAATTTCCCACTTTGAGAAAAAAACCAGGGGTCGGATTTATAAAACTGGCGTACGCACAATTTGAGACCAGAAACTTGCGTACGCCACTTTTTACACCAAGGTTGTAATTTATAAAATCCAAACTTGACGTGAAAATGTGCGGTCCCTCACACCAGCTCT